CCCCCCTTCTCTACAGAGTCTCCTTGTCCTGCCTGGTCCAGTGGCTCCCTGTGCACTTGCTCCTGTGGTGCCAGGGTTAAAGAGCACAAAGTCACAGAGACGGAAACCCGCTGGGCCTCAGTTTCCTCCTCTGTAAAGAAAAATCAACTTCAAAAGGTCTGTGGGAGGTTAAACCACATAATACATGTGACACGTTCGCACTGACATTAAACAGCATGGTCACTGTATGAGACTGTGCTCTGAGTGAGTCTGTCCTCTCAAAGCAGGGTTGCCTTTGTGGGGAGTCCTCCTTGCACCTCAGAAATCCCTGGTGCACTGGGGTCAGAGGCATCCGTGTCATCCCAGCGTGTGCAGTTCTGAGCTCCGAGACAAGACACAGGGGCAACAGAGATGGAGGTGGGGGCTTCCTGTCCCTTCTGCAGCACTTGTAGGACATATGAAGGAGTATGCAGGAGAAGAAAACATGTCCTGTCCTTTCCTATCTGGTGTACTTCTCCAGACATGCCTTTGACAGAAATGCCTCCAACAGCAGCCAGCTACTTGAAAGCAGGACGTCCTGAATGGGCTGTGGCCAGGGCCCTGTGCATCGCACCTTGCACAACTTGGGCAGTATGGGGGACCATGCATGTGGCTTGCAGTCGGCCTGAGTTCTCCAGCTTTGGGGACACATCCTTCCTTGGCTTCCTCCTGAAGCCAGCAGGAGCCCCTAGTGCCCTCTGTCCAGCCTTGCAGCCCCAAAATGTGAGCGTGGCTTCTGCTTTCCTGGTTCTCCCCTCTTCCAGTTCCAGATCTATCCTCTCACTGGCTACTCTTGTATTTCTGCCCCATGGAGCTCCCAGTAGGGCCCACACTCTCATCCTTGGTCCTTCTAAGGCTTCCTTGGCCTGGGCTTTTCCTGGTATTCTGGGAAACAGAAGAGGAGGAGAAGGGGTGCAGTGCAGATGGGCACGGAAATCAGCAGCAAGAAAGATGGGCCAGGTCCCTCTCCTTAGGGTCACTCTGCAGACCACATGTTTCCCCCAGGCTTCACCCATCCTCATCTCCTTGCTGTCCCTCTCCTGCCCCTCCTGCCCCACCTGCTGCTCCCCCATCCTTCACTGCTTGAGAAATCCATTCCTGTTGGGCACCACCTGGAATCTATAGCACTCTGGGAGGGTGAGACCAGAGGATCATAAGTTCAACCCTAGCCTGGGCACTTGAACAACTTGGAGAGTTCCTGTCTCAAAATAAAAAATAAAAAAAGGGCTGGAGATGTAGCTCAGTGTGAAAGCCTTGGGTTCCATCCTCAAAAACAAACAAACCAACAAATTACTCACCCTTCTTAGTAGGTAGAGCATTCTCTCCTTCTGTTTCCTTTTTAAGCTTCTATCTACATTTGCATATTCAAAAACTTGTTAAAACACTGCAAAATAAGTAACCCACCACCCTATTCCCAGGCAATATGCTTTTCAGCTATTCAAAAGAAATATTTTTCACAATGGTAGAAGCTTGGAAATCGGTTTTCTTTTTAGCATGACTACACAGTAGTTATTGCTGAGCTTCTCATTGATAAGTATTGTACCATATCTGCCCCAGAGGGCAGGGACAAAAATCTAACTTTTTAGGGATATATTTTTATTTTTTTATTTATTTTCTGGCACAGGGGATCGAACTCAGGTCCTTGAGAGAACCACTAAGCTAAATCCCCGGCCTTGGGGATATATTTTTAGAAACCAAATCCTCATTGTCTGAGTCCCTCATATAAAATGTCACCCCATTTGCTTATAACATATGCATACCCATCCATGTTCAATCACCTATAGATGATTTATAGTCCTAATAGCATGCAAATGCTAGTAAGTCGCTGTTAGTCCATATTGTTTAGGGACTGATGCGTTTGTGCACACAGTTTTTAAAAAATTTCCATCTGATAGTGATTGAAACCATAGATGCTGTCCTACAGACCCAAGGGACCAATGGTATATAATTACTTTCTGTTTGTGTTTGTTTTAAACAGCAATTTCCAGGTTTTTGTTGGAAGTCATCACCCCTGGGTGACTGTATGGCCTGGTTTGCATGGAGCAGTAGTTTTAGACCTGCCCCATGTCACCTGCCAGCAGCCCCTCCTAGGTAGAAGGATCACTCATGGAGGCTGTCCCGGTTGACTCTTTCCTACTCTCTTCTTCACAATCAGAAGCCTAAGTCACATCCGTCAACAGCTGAACAGTTAAGACAGCTTTCAAAACTTGCTTTAATCCCAGCACTCTGGAGGCTGAGGCAGGAGTATTGCTGAGAGTTTGAGGCCAGCCTAGACTACATAGTGAGTTCAAGACCACTTGAAACAAACTGAGACAGCAAGACCTGTCTCAAAAAGAAAAAAAAAATGCTTTCATGACTTTGAGCCGTGGGGACAAATTTGTGCAAGCGTGACAGTGGCTGACAGCGCTCCCCGTTACATAGGTAGGGCCCAGGCAGCCACCTGTTTCTGTTTATCCAGCCACTCTTTCTCACCTGTCTGTCTTCTGTGTATCTACCTATTATCTCAAGCTGTGTCACAGTGTAAGCATTTAATTCTGGGAAGTATTCTAAGGAGGAATGATACTAGAGCTGAAGGGAACTTCAGAAGTCCTCTGATCACACAAGGCACACGCAGGCAACTCCCTCACTTTGTGGCCGAGTAATGCCTCGAGCTTGGGTCGTCTCCCGAATGTGAGTGTCTGGCTTGCCCATTCCTAACTGGACAGCAGTGCGGCCCAGAGAGGCTGTTTTCCTTCCTGCTGCTGTTGAATTTGATTAGTAAACAAATTATGCACTAGACAGATGGGAGAGATCAGCTCCAGTTCTATCCTTGCATGAGTAATGACTTGGGGGCCCCTTTCTGAGTCATTGTGTCACTGGCAGAGTCAGCTGTAATGAGGTTCACATGAGAAAATGTGTAAAAAATTTGATTGGCAATACTTGCTTTTCTTCCAATCAGTGAGGCCTCTCCCCTACCTGCCAATTGCAAGGATCTGGGAGAGAGTTTCTTCCTCGGGCATTTGTTAGAAGAAAGTTCCTAACTTATCATCCACTTCCTTTTGGAGAAGGGTCGCCTGCTGTACTGCCTAGGCTGCAAGATGGACGGGTGGGCAGGAGTTAGAGAGATCAGTACAATGGGCAGGACAAGGAGCTCAGGACCAGAGCAGACTCCACTGTGAGGCCACCTAGTGCCCGGGGTCACCCATGTCCCTCCTCCGGGTGTCATTGTCCTCCTCTGTGAATGAAGACATTGAACTTGATAGCAAAGGTCCCTGCCACACGAGCTGCTGTGTCCTTGCTTTTGGGCCCAGCTTGTCTTTCTAGGCTATTTATAAACTAACTTCTGGTGCTATCCAGCAGACAAGGGAGCAATCCCACTGGATGACCTTGGCACTGGCTGAGATGGGTATTGAAAGAGTGAGTAGGATTCAAGCTCGTGCCCTTGCCCGTGCCAGAGATGAAGGGAAGGAAGCTTGTTCAAGAGAACCAGGGCTTTATTGGAATAGAGTGCCTTGTGTATCTGGATCCTCCCTTGTGGAGTGAATGGGCCCAGCTTAAAAAAAAAACAAGGATGTAACCCTGGCTTTGTATGTGTGGGTTGTGTGACCTTGGACAAGTCATAAACTTCTCTGAGCCTCCTTTTTTCTCTTCTCCAAAGAAACAGTCTAATAGGGGATTGTGTAAAATTTCAGCAAGATGAATAGTTGTATGAGGTTGGCCCAGAGCTTGGACATGAAGGGCCTTGGCTTGGAAATCTTCCAAGGTCTGGCTGCTTGGGAGTCAGGGAACAGGCACTGCCCTGTGAAGGGCTCTGAGACTGAGGTTCTGCCCTGGATCAATGCTTCTCAACCAGGGAGGATCTTGTCACCTACCCCTGCTCACACAATGGGACATAGGGCAATGAATGTTGAGACAGTGTTGGCTTTCAGTCAAAGGGACCATACTGGCACCTGGGGGCAGACACAGGGATGCAGAGGGACACCTATGGTGTACATGACAGCCCCCCACAATGCTCCATCCTCTGTGGGTGAAGCCCTGGGCAGTGGACAACCCTGGGGTACATGAGATGTCCTGGTGCTGCCTCCTGGGGAGCAAGCATCTCCTCTCTGAGTTTGGGCAGAAGGAGGTGCCCATGTATCCAGGGGGCTGCAGTCAGGGTCTGGCCGGGGATAGGAAGCTCAAGCCAGAGCCCCTAAGAACCTCCCAGTTCTGAGGATGAGCGATCAGGACACAGACTCTGGGAGTGCAGGGATCATGGAGCTCAAGGCCTAGCTCTGCAGTGGGGAAGTGACTAAGGGCTGGACCGGCACTCTTGCTGGCTGGAGGTGCTGCTGTCGCCCACCCTGGCCTCTCAGTATCGACTTAGATATTGCCTACCGAACCTGGATCCCTCAAAGGTGAGCAGGAAGCTGGTGCTGCAACTCTTGTTGGCTCCAACTCTTGTTGGCTCCAACTCAGGGCTCAGAGGTGGCTGGCTGTGCATCCCTGGGTTGTCAGCTGCCCACTGGCTGCCCTGAGCGAAGCTCTTACCACACATCTTGGTGCCCCCCTCTCTCTGTTAGCTGTGACCTCGGCAAGGTAAACACACTGGACCTCGTCCCAGGCCACCCCATGGAACCTCAGCTGCAGCATCTCCAGGGAGCTTAAAGAGTCACCTTTCTGTCCTCTTGCCCTGCCCTCTCCAGTCCTACACTTGGGTCAGGCTCACTTCCAAACCCCCAGCACTCCTCATACCTCCTGGTACAAGGCTGATACCATTTAATGTTTGTTGAGTGAATGTGTGATCCTACAAGTGATGGCTGCTGAGTGAACCAGCCCTGTGTTGGCCCTGGCAGATCAAGGACGTCGTGGGATATAACTCCCTGGGCCACTGCTTCTTCACGGAGGATGGCCCAGAGGAACGCAACACATTTGATCACTGTCTCGGCCTCCTCGTCAAGTCTGGAACCCTGTTGCCCTCCGACCGTGACAGCAAAATGTGCAAGATGATTACAGAGGACTCCTACCCAGGCTATGTCCCCAAGCCCAGGCAGGAGTGCAAGTAAGGCCCGTGGGGCAGAGGGCAGCAGGGGTGGGAGTGCCTCACTCACAGCCCTTCTCGCTTTCCCTCTTCCCTTGCCTCTGAGCCTCGACTCTGCACAGAGAATCACAGTAATCTCTGCCTGGGAAGCACTGTACACACTGACTTCTCCCAGACAATAGAGGCAAAGAAGCAGTGTCTCTGGCAGGGAGTCTCAGACTTCCCCACCGAAGGCCTCTGCACTTGGCGTGCCTCAGTGGACCCTTCTGGAGAACCTGGTTTTCAGAGGGGTGCCACAGTGGTCTTTCTTCAGATCTACCAGGTGGCAGGAGATGGCCTTCATGACTCAGTCCTCTCTGTCCCCTCCCCACAGTGCAGTGTCTACCTTCTGGATGGCCAACCCCAACAACAACCTGGTCAACTGCGCGGCGGCGGGATCGGAGGTGAGGAGCTGTGCATCCTGAGCTCAGGGCCAGGAATCCATGGGGCAAGTGTGGCAGGAGTGGCAGGGAGCATAGCCTGGGTGGGGTCCTAGGACTTGGTCTCAGTGGCAGTCTGTCACTTGTAGCCCTGGCTAGGAACACTCAGCACTTTAGTGAGAGCTGGTGATGATAAAATGGTGCCTGGCACTTGAGTGTTGTAGGCACACATCATCAATGCCACACACCTAGTGTTGTTATCGTCCCCGCCAGAGGGGGGAAACTGAGGCAGGGGAGCTGGAGTCCCTGGGGTGCACAGGAGGGAAATGTCACTCTGCAGCCACTCTGAGGCCTGGCAGTCAGTGCGGTGACTGATGGAGAAGGAGTCGGGAGGGCTCTGATGGGAGAGTCGTTTGGCCTTCTAGGTATCTTTTGCCTGGCCTGGGAGCTGTGGAGGCCACAGACCTACAGCCCCTGTGCTGCCCTGCGGTCCCCTGCCCGGAGTTCATGGTGCCGAATCCAGTGGCTTCCTTCTTGTCCCCACCTGCAGGAAACGGGATTCTGGTTCATTTTCCACCACGTGCCCACGGGCCCCTCCGTGGGGATGTACTCCCCAGGGTATTCAGAGCACATCCCTCTCGGTAAATTCCTCAACAACCGCGCTCACTCCAACTACCGGGTAAGTCTGGCCACTGTGCCTTGCCCACCACCCCGCCACTGCCCTCCCTCCTGCCCTCCCACTTGCCACAGGTGGTCAGAGCGGTGTTCCTATCGAGGATCTGAAAGAACGCAGGGCGGCCCCCACCACACACCACAAGAGACTTCTCTGTGTCCTGTGCTGCAGAGACATCCTGTGGCCGGAGCCCTGGGAGGCCTGCTGCTACTTCCCTTGGGCTCCTGCTGGCAGCCCCTGGCTGAGTACTGATTTGATTCTGTGACCCAGAATCAAATGTGGGGCCATGGTGTGACTGTGGAGACAGAGGTCTGACCCAGAAAGGAAAGAAAACCAGGAGGTTGCTCCAAGAGAAGGAGGCAGGGCTAGCATTCTTACCCATTTCCCTTCCTGTTCTGTGTCTTGGGCAGTGGTGGCTCCATGCAGAAGTGAGAGCATCCTCCATTGCCCTCGTCCCTTACTGGCACCCCCCAGTGCCTACTGTGTGTCAGCATAGGTGCTAAGGGAGAGGGTAGGGTCTAGAGGACATTAGAGGCTTTCCACAGGGACAGCGGCCAAGACCAGAGCTTGGGTAAGGCTGGGACCAGAGGCACTGCCTGGGGGCAGAGGTGGTCTGGAGGGTGCTGGGCTAGATGTAGACTGGATGGTGCTCTGGTCCAGTTCCTCTTTAGGAACTAAGGGAATGAATGCAAACGAGGAAATTGAGGTTCCTGTAGTGGAATGGACACTTGTTGGGTCAAAGAAATACTTTTAAAGGCCCCATCAGGGAGAAAAACAAAGAGGAGAAATGTAGTCTCAGAGCGGACCTGTGATCACACCTGGGGGGATTGGGGACAGAGACCTCAGAAACTAGGATGAAAGTGTCCTGGCGGAAGGAAGGCAGCAACATCACCCTGCAGGGGAGAATCCAAGAGGCCTGGGGGTAGGAATCCCCACACTGAGGCAGGCGCTGGGGCAGGGACAGTGGAGAGGGTGCTTGCTGGGAGATGGCCTGACCTGGAAGTCTCCACTTGACCCGACTGTGGGAGTGCAGGGCAGGTTCCAGCCCACGGGTCATGCCCCGAGTACCCCAACTCCACACCCCTGAAAAAGGGGATTTCCTAGAGTGGGTCCTAGCATTTTGGTCCTCACAGCTTTCCTGTGGAACAGGTGCAGTCTGTCCCTTCTGCAGCTGGTACAGCTGGGGCTAAGGCGGTGAGCCCTGGCCGAGGTAATAGCTTGTAAGAGCAGAGCTGGGGCTCTTAAGAACACAGGACCAAGGCTAAACCATAAGCCAGTGGGGGAGGAATATGCCATAGTCTGTTAGGCACCTAAAGAGAGACAGTTGCATGTGGGCATTCCTAAGAGGCCAGGGGACCCAGCAAGGAAGAAAGATGGCAGAAAAGTCAGGGCCTCTGGAGTCAGATATGGCCGGATTCTCTGCTTGTGTCAGAAGGTGAGATGAGTGGCAGACAGCTGACCTGGGCAGACAGAGCATGGCTGAGAATCCACTTCTCTGGATCTCTGCGGACGAGTTTCCCGGGGTGCACACCCGTGTCCTTGATTTGGGGCCTGGGATAATAACTGTCCAAAGCAGAGTGGGCTCTGTGTGTAGACTCGGCTGTGTGGTGCTGGACAGAACGGTCACCTTTTCTAGATCTGTTTCCTTATCTACATCTCACACAGACACTACGTTCAGGCTCAGTCTGAGCCAAGCAGAACAAGGCAGGCTCTTCCCCTCCCTCGATGCAAACCCTCCGTTTCCATTAATGCAGCCTCACAGCACAGCTGGTTTTGCCACACTTTCAAGAGCTAGGCTGGGCACAAGGAGATGCCTGTGGCCTATGGTGGCAGCTAACATGTCTTTGATGTCCCCTGTCCCCAGGCTGGCATGATCATAGACAATGGAGTCAAAACCACCGAGGCCTCCGCCAAGGACAAGCGGCCATTCCTCTCCATCATCTCGGCCAGGTAAACCTCCTTGGGAAGTCACACCCCACGGAGCCTCTTAACCCAGCGCAGCTCCCTCTCATCCCAGTTCACCCTTCACCCTGAGAGTGTCGAGGTAGTTGCTGGGGTGCTGAGGTACAGATCTGAGTAGGGAGAGTCTGAACTAGAATTCTGGCTCTAGTAGGCAAAAGGAGACAGAAATTTCTAAGGCTCCTGGGGCCCCAGCAAAGTGGTACCTGGTAAGTCAGCAGGATGGCCAGAGCCATTGCCAGAATACTTAAAAGGTCTCATGGCTTGGTCTCTGTCAGAAGTGGGTACATGGAACAGTTTGCCTAGACCAGAAATGAGTGAGCATCCAGGTCAGGAATTCCATTTGGCTACAAAGTGCCCTGGAAGCCAGGCGTGGTGGCGCACGCCTGTAATCCCAGCACTCGGGAGGCTGAAGCAGGAGGATCGCTGTGAGTTCGGGACCAGCCTGGGCTACATAGTGAATTCCAGGTCAGTCTCAACTACATAGTGAGACCCTGTCTCAAAACAACAAAACAAAACAAAGTGCCCTAGGACAGGCAGTTTTCAGGTTGCTGGCTGTCCCCGGGGAGGTAGGTATCTCCAGACTGCCTTTGCTGGCCCTGCAGACAGCATCGCGTGCCTGTCTGGGAATGGGCTATCTGAACTTTCCTCTGTGATTTGACAGCCCTCAGGGCAGGGCTCTCTGGTGGTGCTGATGGACAAGAAGAGTGATGTGTTTGTGGCTGTGTGGGACTGGGCCTGCCTCTGTGGTGAGCTCAGGAAGCCCACTCAGAGTCCGCTGGGGCTGATCGGCTCTGATCATCAGTGCTGCCGGGCTCCTAGCGCAGGAAGGCATTGGCACAGAAACCCTCCAATGCCCACACGCCCCGTGTTCCAGGTACAGCCCACACCAGGATGCTGACCCACTGAAGCCCCGGGAGCCTGCCATCATCAAGCACTTCACGGCCTACAAGAACCAGGACCATGGGGCCTGGCTGCGTGGTGGGGATGTGTGGCTGGACAGCTGTCGGTGAGTGGGACGGCATGTGGCATGGAGAGGCAGGGAGGATAGACATAGTGTCACGTGTCCTTATTTCTTCCTGGCCGGGCAGTGACCAGAAGGGCAGCAGGCAGCGGCTTCGCTGCTGTGACTGGTCACAGGGGTCACTGGGCTTCTCTGTCCCAAGGTCACCTGCCAGACAGTGAAGGGAGGGAGAAGTAAGGGGTCCCTGCAGCAGAGCCTGGGCTGCATTTCTTTCTTGTGGCTACCAGTTACTGTCCCCATGTTAGAGCTATAAATCGGGGCTCTGTGTAGTGAATGTCTCAAGGTCACGTGACCAGGAAGTGGTTCAACTAGGATTTGATACCCTGGTCATGGACTCACCTCACCAAAGGTCCCTGAGCAGAGCCACTGGCCCCACTGCACAAGGACCAGAAGGACAGGCAGCTGGGCAGGGTGTGTCTGCAGGGAGTGTTGTGATGTGTTCTTCTCGCCTGCCTCTGTACTAAAAATGGGAGATCAGAAACTGAATAGAAGATAAATGGCCATTTTACTGTGACCAATTAAAGGAGAAATAAAGACACAAGGGAGCAGGAATGTGTGAGGAGGGAAACAGTTACACAGGGAGAGAGAGCAGGAGGCTACTGAGAAGAGCAGGGGTCAGGAAGAGGCTGATCCGAAGCCAAATGCTAGACCAGCCTGGGTGAAGTCCTGGAATGCAAAAGGACATTGGTGACTGAGTGCCAAGAAGGACCTTCATGTCACATAAGAGAAGAGGCCACTAGTTTAGAGGAGTGGCAGAATGAGCACGCAGGACAGGCTGGGGGACCAGAGACCAGTTACGTCTGCCTGGGAGGAAGGACACAAAACTAACTAGAGGCTCAGCTCAGCTCTGATTCTGCGCTGCCTTTGTCCCTGGGGCCCATGCTTCCTGCAGAAGGTACTCCTGGTGCTGCAGAAGGGTGGAGTCGAAGGGAAGCAGATAATTACAGGCCAACCGCAGGCTCCTTCCATTCCGGGGCGGCATCTGCCTGACTTCGGGGAAGATTGGAAGTGAGATGTTTGTATTTCCTCTGAAATAGTTGTGAGGGTGCAAAGGGAATGAACTGCAGCCATGGAGCCTTTCCTAGGGCTGGCCCTGAGTGTGGGAAGTCTGCCCGCTCACATGATTTAGCCCTCAGCACTGGGCCCCAGGCCGAGGTGGGCTCAGAGGGGCTGTGCCCTGGTCCATGGACAGCTAACACAGGTGCCAGCAAACCCTATAGCCACTGGGGTCACCCGTGTCCCTGGAGTGAGACACAGTGGGAGGGACCCAGATTATGCTGCTGCTGTGCAGACTCACATCTTTGCGAAGCCTCTCCAAGGACTGGGAGTGCCCCCCACTGGACAGAACTGACAGCACACTGACCATCTGCTCTTGTCCTCAGGTTTGCTGACAATGGCATTGGCCTGACCTTGGCCAGGTAAGAGCAGGATCCTTGTGCACTTTCTGTGGATACTGTGGGCATCTGGCTGGAGGAAGCTGCCCTGGGCTTCTGCTGCCTGCACCTTCTCTCCACAGTGGTGGGACCTTCCCGTACGATGATGGCTCCAAGCAAGAGATCAAGAACAGCTTGTTTGTGGGCGAGAGCGGCAATGTGGGCACGGAAATGATGGACAACAGGATCTGGGGCCCAGGCGGCCTGGACCACAGTGGAAGGACCCTCCCCATGGGCCAGTAGGTTTGCAGCTGGGCCACAGCTGAGTGGCAGAGGGTGCTTAGCTTCAGCAAGGGTTGTGGGAGAAGTTAGGTGATGATTTCTCTTTGTGGCTGGGAATATTCTGTCCCCACAGCCAGAGGAATCACTGAAATGACAGAGACTGATGGTTGGGAGACGGACTCTGGAAAGAGGGGAATGAAGTGAAAAAAACCCCCAAAAAACAGTGTTGAAGGTGAGGCAAGAGAGTGGCGAGGTCCTGGTCTGTTAATGGGAATATAGTGTGCAGATGAGGGACCTTGAGTCCCTATCCCTTGCTTCCATCCTGGGATGGCAGCATCAGTGCTACTAACAGGAGAGTAACCGGAGGTGCCACTCCCGGAGGCTGTGGTGTCTCCTGTAGATGGGGACTGTGTCATCACCCAGGAGATGAATCACATTGGGGAAGACATGTGCCTAAGTCTGCCAAGTGCGGGGGAGCTGAGACGTGGGCCCCATGGTCAAAATTGGCTCAACCAGAGCCTTTCCAGGCAGTCAGATGTGCACTATAACTGAGTATCAGAGCTTCTTCAGGAGTCTCAGGCTGTGGGGAGGAGCTCGGGGAGGAGCCGGTGGCTGGAGAAGCCAGCAACTTGCAGAGCAGATGGGTGAACAGTTGCTGTGACAGCAGAGCCTAAGAGTGGCACCTCTTTCCCTGGGTTCCTCTGCTGAGGTGGGAACTTGAGCCCCAGAGCCAAGCTGTCAACCCATAGCCATCCTGTTCTCCAAGTAACAGGACCAGTGCTTCTTGAATCCTTGGGTTTTCTTCTCTTCCTCCCCAAAGTGTAACTCCTGTTGCCAAAGTCAGGACACAAAATACACAGACCTAAAACTCCCAACCCTAGTGACTTGTATCTCCAGGAAGATCTTGCAAAGGTAGAATCCTGGTCTCCTTTGGCCTGAGCTGTGGAGAAGCCATTGCTCTGTGTAACTTATAGGACATAGGAATCCTTCCACCATCTTCACTTGTGACTCTATCTGGTACTCAGGATTTCTTTGCAGAGGGCTCCTGCCTCCCAGGGCCACCTGTTCTGATGACCTGTAGAGGTGAGCATGTGGCCAGGAGCCTGACTCGGTGGCTGGTTCATCCTGAGTAGAATTGAGTTAGGTCAGAAGGTGAAGAAGCACAGGACTAAACAGTGGTGTTAGCAGAATGGGCTGTCCCCAAAATACTTAGTAGAAAAAACCACCTAAAGTCACTCTATAAGAACCAGGATTCCAAATGACAGTATCAATCAGTTACAAAAATCTGAAAGTACAGGGAATCTTTGGTGTCCCCCAAAGAACTGACATGAGGGGACTGGAAAGGAGGGGAGCCTGCAAGCAAGACTGGGGCAGCCTGGGTGTGGCTCTTCTCCAGGGACAATCCCTCATCTGCTTTGTTTTCCTTCCTTCCATCCTCTCTTCTTTATGCTATCTGTGCAAGGGACAGGCCTGTCCCAGCATAGCGACACCAGCAGAAGCATTTGTGCCTGGCCTGGAGATGCCCAAGCTGAGGTTTGTGGCCCAGCAACTCCCTCATGGGCCCTGGTTCTCCAAGCCCTGTCAGGAATCTGAGGCCTATGCTGTGCAGCCTCCAGGCCAGGACATGATCTCTGGGTCACCAGCCCACAGCCCTGTCCACCTTCTCTCCTGCCTTCCCAGCAGGGCCTACTTTCCCTGCGGGTATGTGCAGAAAGCCACAATGCAGTCGCATTTACCAACCTCCATTCTGTATCTTCCTCTCCATTCCCCCAACCCCACATACTGCCAGCTGAAAGGCTCACTCACAAAGGAAAACTCGTCTGGGTCCCAATCTGATTTAATTGTTAGAGCAACTAAAACTAAGGCAGTAATGACTAACAGTGCTACCTTCCCAGGGGACATAATATTGGCACTCTCTAGTAGCATTTACAGTATTTACCAATGACTCTTTATATGATGGGGAAACTGAGGGGAGAGATGTTTAAATAGAGGAACTTCACTAAGACTCAAGCTAGCAATTAGATTGCTATTCATCTGTCTTCCATCCATCCATCTATCCATGCACTTACTAAACCACCCATGCATGCATCTACCCATCCATCCATCCACCCACCCATCATGCACCCATCCATCCATTCATCCACTCACCTATCCATGCACATTCAACCACCCATGCATCATCCATACATCCACCTACCCTCCTGTCCAGTCATTCATCCATGTAGCAATCATTTGCTGATACTTATTATTTCTCCACATGCTTTCTCAGTGAGTTGATTAATGGTTCATTAATGATTTGGGGTGGAGGAGTTGCTGGAGGTAGAGATCAGAAATGGCTTTACCCAGAAAGTCTGTCCTGGGGCCAGATTTAGCTCAGTGGTACTGCACCTGCCTGGCAAGTGCAAGGCCCTGAATTTGATCCCTGATTCCCCCCCCTAAAAAAGAGAGAGAGAGAGAAAGAGAAAGACTTTCAACATCTACCTCAGAAGAGGAAATAACATGGTGTTCAGACTGGCATCTGGCTCCCTTTACTCCATAGGAATTTTCCAATAAGAGGAATCCAGTTCTATGATGGCCCCATCAATGTCCAGAACTGCACCTTCCGGAAGTTTGTGGCCCTGGAGGGCCGACACACCAGTGCCCTGGCCTTCCGCCTGAACAACGCATGGCAGAGCTGCCCGCACAACAATGTGACTGGTGTCATCTTTGAGGACGTCCCAGTACGTGAGGCACAAGGGCTCCTCCTGAATAGCAGACTGGGTGGTGACTCACAGGTCCCTCAGGGCTGGGGGTTGGGCTGGTGCCATCCCTGCAGGGAGTAAATGGCCTCTCCTAAGTAGTCTGGGCCACAGCCCATTGCTCTGCCTCCTAGCTGGAAAAGTACAGGCCCCAGTGGCCACAGGTCAAGGCAGGGTGAGGAGGAGCCTCAAGGCAGGCTCTGCCTAGGGCTGTCCTCCAAGGCTTCTCCATGCAGCGTCTAGTGACTGGGCCACCTTCGTTGGCACAGATCATCGGACACACCAGCAGCTTCCAAGGGAGGTCTCTGTCAGAGGTGTCTGGTTAATCTTACCCTGAGAGTAGCATAAACAGGGACCTCCTGCCATGGGTGGAGCCAGGGAAGAGGGGCCCAGGACTAGGAGAGCCTTAGGGCTGCTGGTGTGCCCAGCAGTATGGACTCCTGGCACAGCTCTTCTGGGCTATGGGCTCCCAGACCCTTTCCCCTCTGCCTCCTCTGCTCCTGCTCCTGACTATTGCCTGGTCACTGAAGATGTGTACCTCAGTTACTCATGTCTTCACCCAGGCCATCATGGCCTAAAGGAGGTCAGCCTTGAAAATCTCCAAGGGCTTATGCTTATGCTGTAAGACTGCCCTGACCCCCCCCACATGCACACACACTCACATGTGCTCTTGCACACACACGCACACACACTCACATGCTCTTGCAAACACATGCCGCCAGACCACACTTTCCCCTGCCCTCACCTCTATGCTTCCTATCTCATTCCCACTCACACTCCTTGCCAAGACCTTCCTGGCCGGCCTTGCAGCCTGGGCTCCAATGCAGTTCTTGAGGTCCCTGTAGCACCCGCCCTGCACTGAGCAGAGCCAGAGCTGCCTGCTAGGCTGGGAGTTGAACCTTTGACTGTTTTCCTGGCCTGTCTGCCAGGTCAGCCAGTGGTTTCCTACAGTGCCTAAGAGCGTTTTGGGTTGGCTGGCTCCTAATGTCAGCGGAAATCGGAAACTTCTCACCGACCCGTGATGGCTCGGTTCTATTGGTCTCTGGCCCAGCCTGATTTTACTGGGCTCTGTTCAGATCACTTCCAGAGTGTTCTTCGGAGAACCCGGGCCCTGGTTCAACCAGCTGGACATGGACGGGGACAAGACATCTGTTTTCCATGATGTGGATGGCTCCGTGTCTGAGTACCCCGGCTCCTACCTCACCAAGGAGGACAACTGGCTGGTGCGCCACCCAGACTGCATCGACGTCCCTGACTGGAGGGGGGCCATCTGCAGTGGGCGCTATGCACAGGTGAGGAGCTGGGGGTCACGTGCTCGCTCACACATGCGCACTCAGTGAGTGCCTACGGTATTCTGGCTCTGTGCTAGGTCACAAGGGATATAGAATTCTTTTCTCTTTTTCTTTCTTCTTTTCCCCCCTCTCCCAGTAAGACTTTCACAAGATCAAATGCAAGACCAACCTACGTAACAAGATTGTCTAAAAAAAAAAAAAAAACACCCCAAAATAAATAAATAAAAATAATAACCCTATGACCTTGGGGAAATACCGGGAGCCTCAGTTCCTTTGTTTATAAAATCAGGATGATGTTGGTGGGATTGCAGGGTAGCGATGCAAGTAAAATGCTTCCTTAGCTCTAGGCTGTCAAAACATAATACAAGCTACACATGTTCCTAAATTTCTGTTGTCCATGTTAGAAAAGTAAAAAGAGACAGGAAATTCAATTTTAATAATATTTTATTTAGTTTAAACATTATCATCTCAAATGTGATCCACATAAAAATTATTACTGAGACATTTTACTTTTTGTTTTTGTTTTAAGTCTTCAAAACCACGTATTTTATATTTACACCTCACCCATTTGGGATGTTAATCCATACAAACTGAAATGTGGCCCTAACAAGGAAGTGGTGTTTAATGGGGGAAAAAAATCATACTGCTTGTTGTTTGAAATTTGAATTGATTAAAATAGAATTTAAAATGAGTATCCTGAGCCATACCAGCCTTGTTTCCCGGGGTCACTGTATGGGACAGTGTGGCCGGAACATGCCCGGGAGAGGTGGAGACGTGAGTGGTGGCCACCATTGTGGTGCAGTGGCCAGCACTGTTGTTGACTAGTGATGAATGAGCAAGGGAGAGGGGCCTGAGAAAACAAACAAGTGTCAGCTTAGACCCTGGGTGGTGGTGCACGCTGTAATCTCAGCTACTCAGGAATCTGAGACAGGAGGATTGCGAGTTCTGACCTGTCTCAAGATTTTAAAAATTGAAAAGGGGGAAGAGCTGGAGCTGCAGTGGTAGAGCACTTGCTACACTGCTCATTTTCTGTAGAAAAGAGCTGTTAGAGCTTGCTGGATTATCATAACTGGCTACTGGTCGATTATTACTATCTCTTCCCTTCACTTTGTGGCTTACAAAGTGCTTAAATACACCTTTTACCCTTTACCCATGGGGTGGAGTTGGTATTTGTCTTTCCATCAGATATGAGATCACACTAGGGTGGGAAAATAGTCCCTCCTTCCAAAGGCACAATGTCCTTGCTCATGGGTGTGCTGGTCTCTCTTAGACACAGCTACAGGATGTCACCTTACAGATATGGGACATGCCATAAAACAGGATGGTGCTTTAAAATGAGGCTGGCTCTTTGGTCCCTGGGACTCATGGCCAATGGTCTTGCTTTCAATTTTTTCTCTGAACAAGGCACATACCCTCATCCAGTGTCCTGCCACTCCCATGCAGGGGCCAGACCCTGAAAGCCAGAGGGGGAGCAGGCAGCACACCAGAACACTCCCAGAAGCAGGCAGAACCATGGCCAGATAACTGTGGCTGCATCAGCTATACAAAAAGGCCTCTCTGAGTGAAATAGGAAGAAAATGGCTAAAGGGGAAGTGGAGGGGAGGGGAAAGGAAGTAAGGGAAAAGAAAAAATGTGAAAAAATGGAAACAAAGTCTTTGTAAATAGGGAAGGGTAAAGAGGGTGAAGGGAGGGCAGCTGTATGGCGAAAAACAACAACCAAGACATATCATGTAAAGGTAAAAGATCCTAATGATAAATGTAACTGTATTATTTGCTTTAAATGTACCAATAAACTTAATAGAAAAAGAAAAAGGAAAGAAAAAGGCCTCTCTGCCTTCCTCATGTCCTTTGTTTTTCCAAAAGTCATCTTCTGACTATTAAGCAACTCTTTACAAGTTTGCGCTAGTAGCTCCTTGACAGCACTTTTTTGAAAATGAAAAAAAAAAAAAGCATTAGCTGGACTGCACAGTATTGCTTGGGCTGTGTCCACCAACGGAAGAGAGGTCCCCTTATTTGGCCTGTCTTCCATTCAAGCCTTCTAAAAAAAGTGCTCTGTCTTTGAAAGTGTGTCTGCAGCCGGACACTAACCAGACACCCTTGCACCAATTCCTGTGTGTTTCCTTTTTGGGCTTTAAAAGATGTACATTCAGGCCCACAAGACCAGTAACCTGCGGATGAAGATCATTAAGAACGACTTCCCCAGCCACCCTCTCTACCTGGAGGGCGCCCTCACCAGTAGCACCCATTACCAGCAGTACCAGCCTGTTGTCACCCTGCATAAAGGCTACACCATCCACTGGGACCAGACGGCACCCTCTGAACTCACCATCTGGCTCATCAACTTCAATAAGTGAGTGGGTGCTGGCCAGGACCAGTATGGCTGGGGACAGTTGCCTGGCTGAGCTCAGAGAGTAGTGATGTGGCTAGCCCATTCCCTGCGGGAGTGGCCCTGATCATCTAAGAGCTGAGACTCAGAGGGCACAGTCTGACCCCACTCTGGACCTGGGTGGCCACCCCCCCCCACTTTAGAGAGGGTGAGTGTGACAGACCAGGAGTGTGCAGAAGATGGAGTAAGATGATGAATGTGTGATGGGTGTTTTTTAGCTACCACTGCCATTTTGCAGAGAGAACTGAGGCTCCCTCAGCTCCATCAGTGAGGGAGAGTGATGAGGCTGTGGGCATCTGGGTAGGGATTCATATTTATGTTCCATATCTTCTCTATGCATTGCTAACTTGTCACAGTATCCTGTGAAACAGACACTTATTGGATGCAGAAAATAATCCATAGGCCCAGCCCCACTGAAAGATGTCTTGTCCTGCTCCCCAGCAGCCCAGTGCAGGCCCTGGACTCCAGCTGGCCTATCTGGCCATCCACCTTGGTCCTGGCTCTCTCCTGGAATACTCTGTGACTCCATCATACCTAGAGCAAGAGTTCTTTCAAAGTTCCCTGTGCAGGAATTCTCTAGTCTCTTTCCCCAAGTATTCCCCAGTCATCCTTGCCTGGAACTGACCCTGCTTGTGGTCCTAGGGGTGACTGGATCCGAGTGGGACTCTGCTACCCACGGGGCACCACCTTCTCCATCCTTTCGGATGTACACAATCGCCTACTCAAGCAGACATCCAAGACAGGCACGTTCATGAGGACCCTGCAGATGGAGAAGTTAGAGCAGAGCTATCCTGGCAGGAGCCACTACTACTGGGATGAAGACTCTGGGTAAGGAGGCTCCCATTGTCTGCAGAGTAGCCTTGGCTTCACTGTGTCCTGTATCCTTTCTTACAGCCCTAAAGCAACCACATAAGTGATGCCAAGTAGTGCAGAAAACTCCCAGGTGCTTTGATTTTAATGCTGACTAAGCTGTGTACTGGTGACATTTTTAAAGCCATTAAGCCTTGAGGTGAACATAGATACTCTATTAAATATACATATGGATTGTAGGTAATACACTTATTTCAGGAAAAAGAAGTAAAAGGAGCAAATCAGAATTTTAAACATACAGTAGGACTAGGGGTGTAGTTCAGAGATAGAGTATTTGCAGCACAAGACAATATTAAATCAAAAATCTCCATGATACAATATCACCCAAAACCTGGTTGTAGCTGGCTGGCTCCAAGGCAGGGTGGTCTAGCAGAGAGGCATCAGAGAGGAGGAACAGTCCATGGCAAGGCAAACAGGAAGCAGCAAAACACCAGAGCAAGCCTTCCTTTCCCTTTTATCCCATCCAGGCTACAAAAGTTTTGGGTGGTGCCACCCATACCCAGGGTAAGGCTTCCCATTATCCACACCCAGAACTACAATAAACCAATCAGTGGACTAATTTAGTTATCACACCCTTAATCCATATTTGCACACAATCCAGCCCCCTCTGAAACCCCCCAACTGTGAGCACATGAGGCTTTGGGGGGACATCTTGACATGAGCTTCTTACCCCCGAGCTGCTGCCCTCTCTGGAGACCTCAAGAGGAGTAGGCACAGAAAGGGGCACCATCATAGTTCAAAGGGCTTTTCCATTTAAGGACCATGAGAGGAGGCTCCTCTTGGGCATCAGGTACCTGTTAAGCAGCCCTTCTCCAAGTCCAGTGTGTGTCTTGGTCTGGTCAGCTGAGTCCTGGGCAGGGGCCATGCACCCCCCAGACCATATCTACTGCTGCATAGATGGGGGACCCACCTGAGTGTGTTCTGAGCTAAAGGACACAATTTGAATCCCAAGTGGTTTCTTCATAACTTGACTCCCTACAACACAGGATCGGATTCCTTCACAATAATAATTATTTTAAATAAATTCTAAAATAATTCTTAGAATAAATGACAGTTTAGAGAAAATCAGAGTTAGGAATACTGAGAGCCTTTGCTCTTTAAGCACAATGGAGGGGAATTCCAGCCCACTCCCAGCTGTGTGGTCCTGAGCAAATCATGTCCCTTCTTCCCCTGCCTCTTCCCACATCCAGGAAATTGGGGTGATATAGGGGCAGGGGTGAGGACTAAGTGAGATAATGGGTCAGCTCTCACCATGCATACACGGCAGAACAGACTACAATTCCCATCGTTATCGGGGTCCAACCTGGGCAGGAGCACATAGGCAGTGTCTCTGGTGGGGGGCGCTCCATGAACACAGCACCTCCTGCAGGCTCTTGTTCCTGAAGCTCAAAGCCAAGAACGAGAGGGAGAAGTTCGCCTTCTGCTCCATGAAAGGCTGTGAGAGGATAAAGATTAAAGCTATGATCCCAAAGCACACAGGTGTCAGTGACTGCACAGCTGCTGCCTACCCGAGGTTCACCGAGCGGGCCATAGTGGATGTGCCCATGCCCCCCAAGCTCCGAGGGCTGCAGCTGGTGAGTGGTGATGTGCTGTGGTCCGGACCCCAAGGGCACCCCTCCTCTGTACACCTGCTGAGCCCCACGGCTGTGTCCTGATGCCCATGCATTGATGCCCCCCCAACCCCCATGGGTTTTCCAGAAGTCCAAGGACCGCTTCCTGGAGGTAAAGATGGAGAGCTCCCGGCAGCACTTCTTCCACCTGCGGAGCAACTTCGCCTACATCCAGGTGAGCAGTGGGCCTTGAGGGTGGAGTGAACAAGTGCTGGGGCAGTGGCTTTCCCATGGCTGTCGATATAACAAGTTCCCACAGCTGGGGCTTGAACCAGAGGCGAGTTCCTCTCTCAGTTCTGGGGCCAAGAGGTGGACTCCAAGGTCAAGTTATGCTCCTAGCAACTGTGGGGACCCGACACCCCATGGCCCACAGATGCCTCACTCCACCTCTGCCTTGTCTCCACGTGGCCTTTCCCATCTGCCTAAGTCTCACATCTCCCTCTGCCTTTTTTGTAAGGGCAACTGTCATTGGATTTAGAGCCCATCCTAAAGGTCCTGCATGATTTCACCCTGAGATCTTTACGTGAAGTTACGGATGTGTTTAATCAGCACACCTGCAATGACACTATTCTAAATAAGGTCACTGCCACAGACTCCAATGGGGGTATCTTTTGGAGAGCTGCTATTCAACCCACTACAGGGGGCTGGAAAGAAGTGAGGGGTTTGTGCTTTGAGCAGCTGCATCAGCAACCTGTGTTTAGGATCTGCATAGGAGATGCAAAGGCAGGAGAACTTCATGTCTGTACTCCTTGGGCCCTGCAGGTGGATGGGAGGAGATATTCCAGCTCTGAAGATGGCGTCCAGGTGGTGGTGATTGACGGACGTCAGGGGCATGTGGTGAGCCAGGGCACTTTCAGGAGCTCCATCCTGCAGGGCATCCCCTGGCAGATCTTCAGTTACGTGGAGGCCATCCCTGACAAGTAAGTCCCTGCCTCTGTTTGTGGATCTGGCCAGGGGTACAGCTAAGTTCCACCCTCTTTCCAAGCCATCACTCTCATTGTGCTTCCTGGTCTGGGGAACTCCAGGCATTTTGAGTCTGCCCACAGACATTGATGCTGTGGGTACTCATGCGAGAGGGGGGTTGTTGGGAACACAGGTCAGGCTGAGGTGGACAGGGCTGCCCATGTGCGGAAGGCACTCAGCCCTCTGCCCATCTCACACACTCTCCGTGATGACCGTAGCCACGTCTGCCCCCTCAGTATGACCCAAGAGCTCCTGGCTTCTGAGCTGCCAGCCTAGGTCTTTTTCCTAAGCCCAGACACCAAACCCAGTGGCTTCCTGGAGATACCACCTGAACGTCTTCTATGGAACTGTGTCCTCTTCCTCATCTCCACCCCATACAAGCCACTCCTGTCCTTTTCCTGTTTGGATTAAGTCATCACCATTATCCAACAGCCGGACCAATCTGGTCTTCTCTTCCCTCACACCCCGACACAGTCCTTGTCAGTCTCTGTGCGTCCTCTCGACCCTGCTCTGTTCTGCCCAGCCTTTCCTGTTAGTTGCCAACACTAAGCAGAGTCCCCCAGTGGCCCTCTCTCTCTCAGTCTGCCCATCTTCCTTATTGGCTGCCAGTCTGAGCTTCTCAAATGCTGGGCTCGACTGTGTCTCCCTTTTGGCAATCTCTGACACCTCCCTATCACCTTCCGAGTCTGACACCCCTGTCTCCTCCCTGGTGAGGGCTCTTCTGTTTTCACCAGTTCTCTGTAAAGCAGCATTCCCAGCTGGAGTGGGCACACATCTGCTGCCCCATCTGTGCAATGCGTGGATACCAGTGCCATATCTCACTCCCCCTGACATTTCTAGCCCAGTCTCTAGCTGGTTAGATGGGTGCACAAGTTACACAGGAGCCACTGCCTAGTGGGACATCTGTGTGCATAATGTGGTGCCTGGCACATAGTAGGTGCTTGACAGGAGTTCAGGAGAGAAAACACACCTTCTCCATGTGCTGTGTGGACCCAGGTGAGCTGAGTAGAGGGAGTCTGGAGTGGTTTTGCCTAGTGCACTTAACTCCTCACTGATGCCCCAATACTGCTTTAGTGTTAGATTTTTCCTGCGCAGACTGACACAGAAGGATGAGCTTTACCACCTGGGGAAAACATATTTATCACCTAAAGATCATTGGCAGTTTTCATGCCTGTTTTGGTCAGAGGACTTTTTCCTAAAATGAATCAGGATATAGAAGCAGAAATGGGAGCACAGGGACACTGGAGCCCGGTACAGCAGCTATGTACCTGCCCCCCGGAAAATCCCCAGCTGGCACAGCCCTTCCTGGGCCAGCACTGGGTACCCAGACAGGAACTGGATTCCACTGCCCATCTCTGATCTCCTGGGAAACCACAGGGAAGGAGCAAGATAGGCCTTTCCCTCCCAGGGCTGCCAGCCCATCCTTCCCACTCATCACAGGCCCAGGGAACAGAAAGGGCCGCTACTCAGGGAGGCCTGGCATGGGCTGGTGTCAAGAGGCCTTGATGATGGCACTGGGGGGGGCGGGCATGGAAGGAGCCCTCCTCCCTATCTGTCCTGAGCAGGACCTTCTGAGTGCCCCAGCAGGGAGGTGGAGCCTCAGGCGATGTCCTCCTAGGAAAGGTCCAGACCCACAGCTGAGGGCGCATCTGTGAGGAGCCTTCCTCCTTCACAGGCCTCTGGCACCATCTCTGGGCTCCCTCGCAGTCCCCCACCCCCCAGCCCCCACTGTCCTCCCCACAAACAGGCCCCCTGCCTTCCAGCAGCCCTTCTGCTGCTCCCAGTGGGACACAGATCAGGGTAGCATGGGGTTCCAGTGATTGTCCAGTTTCTCCATGTCTGGACTGTGGTCTGTGGTTACAGACTTCTTTGGGATGCAAGCTGGAAGCCCCATTGAGCTTCGGCCCGGTTTGGTTTCTGTCTCAGAGGGAGGTGCTCACTTCCCTGTCTGGAACAGCATGAAGACTGTTTTCCCAACACTCAGGACTCATACAGCCCATTGCAGGAAGCAGAGACGCCGGCTCCCAAGCTGGGACCTTCAGGCTGGGCATGACCTCTGCCCTCCCAAGCACAGCTCCCCTCTAGCCAGGCCTCTCGGGTTGTTGGAACACTCTGCTCAGGCTCCCCATTAGCAGCCCAATGTGTAATGACACAGTGCTCTTCCTGGGGAGATGTCAAACCAGGTCATACTCTTTCTGAAATGCAGAGGAGGTAGCTCTAGGCATCACAAAGCCCAAAACCAGAAGACACTCCAAAAAAGAACATAGGCTCAAGGAGACAGCCAGCGCAGGGAGTTCTGCTTCAAACACAGACCCTGGATCAGACGGTTGGCTGCACACAGGTTGCGCAGTTCCAGGTGATGCCAACACATCTGGTCCCCAGGGCTCCAGTGCCATCAGGAGCTCTGGGTGGTTTTAGAGTTTGACAGGAACTCCTTTTTCCTTGTTTCCCTTTCTTCTTGTCCCCATTCTATCTCTTGCAACCTGTTTTGGCTTTCTCCACCTCCCTGGCTCTGCTGGCTCTTTCTGAACAACACTGACGACAACCACATGAAGAAATGAATGGTTGGTACAGGTGTTGGCATGCTCCCAAGGTGCTGTGTTCTCTGTGCATGCTCTGTCCTGCTTGGGGACAGACATGTGAAAGCAGTGACCACATCCAGGCTTGAGAAGGCCAGGGCCCTGACGGTGGCCAGATGTGTGGGAGGGTGCTCTGGATGGTCATCACCATATGGAAAGAGCCTGTCAGCTCAGCTACAGGAGACGCTGCCCTTTCCCAAGTCCCTGGCCAGGCCCTAGCACTCCTGTGTACAAGCCAGGATCTTGCCACGTACCTGGCCCCATTTCTCCCCATCTGTGTCATCTGATTAGTCCCTTCTCTTTCAGCTCCATAGTTGTCATGGTGTCAAAGGGAAGATACATCACCAGAGGCCAATGGACCAGAGTGCTGGAGAAGCTGGGGGCAGACAGGGGTCTCAGGCTGAAAGGTAAGAAGTGTGATGGGTTCAGTGACTGCAGACCAGCACAGATCCTCATCTTTTGGCATGGGGACTGCAGTAACCCCTCACTGAGTCTAGAACAGTCCTTTTCACTGAACATGGATGTGGTCCAGAGTTTTGGACACACCTGATGAGCTACAGGGATGGGCAAGATTCCACCTATTTTCTCTCTGTGTTTTAACTTGTGATCTGATACTAAAAGTGAAATTGCTAGACTTGTTCACGTGCTTGTTCATTTGCTCAAGTAGCCCTTTATTCAACAAAAGCATCATCAGGAAAGTGGCTTTATCTGACTTTCCCTACCCAGTTCCCATATGTAGACTGGCTGGGGGCCCCACGTTTTCCTCAATATCCCAGATGTTGGACATCAGTGTCCAACATTTGTTCAGTTGATTGCAGTTTTCAAAGCTGTGATCTTCTGAGATAGGCAGAAAGTTAAAGCCCAGAAAATCCACATGGCTTATGCAGGTATCTGTCTTTTTGAAGCCCAGCCCAGACTCCTCAGCTGTGTGGGACAGGGCAACCTAGCCAGAGAGGTCAGACAGTGCTCATTAGAAAGCCATACAGCAGGTACTATTATTTCCATTTTAAATGAAGACGCAGAAGTACAGTTAAGCCAATTGCTAAACATCAGGATTTGGATTGTAACCTTCCTAATCCAAAGCCAGGGTTCTGAGGTCTGCATCCCGAGTATGAAAGATATGTGAGTACAAAGCCCATCACATGGTGCTTATGCCAGACAGTGACCAGAGGAGTCAGAACAATGTCAGTCCTTCAAGGCAGGCACAGGACAGGCAAGGAGAAGGGAAGCATCCTTTCCAGTCCAGTCTTGGAATCATCCCAGGCTTCTGTCATTTAAACTGTGACCCCATTGCCAACAGCTTATGGGCATAAGGTCATCTAAGTGGACTGGCACTTTGCCAGTGGTGACAAAAGTGTGCCACCTGCCAGGCCAGGTGACTCCTGAGTATATATGTGGATCCCTGACTCCTCAGGCAGTCAGGCTCTGGAATGCAAAGTAGGGAGTGCTGCGAGGGGTCAGGGTTGGGAGTCCTAGGCTGTGTGCACCAGGTGCTCCTGCCCCTAGGAGCTCAGGAAGCAATCTTGTGGACAGAGGATGACACTGGGCCTCAGAGACCTGCTGGTGACCACAGGTCTGCTGGAAGGAGGTAGGGTTCCTAGGAAATCTGCCTCCCAGCCTGCCCTATGCCCTGCATGGACAGAGCCACTGCAGGACTGGCCATGAGGCTCAAGGAGGCTTGTGTGTGAGGAGCCACCCCAGTTAGGCCCAGAGCTCTTCCAGGAGACACATCCTATACGGCCAGAGAAGGGAGTGTTGAGTGTAGCCCTACAGAGGGGTGGGCAGTAGCCATTCTCTCCAGGGGCTTGGCTTTACTCACGTGATTCATCACTGCTTTCCAGAGAAACTGGCATTCATTGGCTACAAAGGCAGCTTCCGGCCCACTTGGGTGACTCTACAGACTGAGGACCACAAGGCCAAAATCTTCCAAGTTGTGCCCATTCCTGTGTTAAGGAAGAAGCAGCTGTGAGGATGGCTGCTGCCGTGGCACCACTGCAGTGGACTGTGACATGGACCCTTGGCTCCCAGCCCTGTGCATGGCTGCCCAGGAAGGTGGCTCATCAGCCCTGCCAACCAAGGGAAGACATCAGAGTCTTCTGGTGCTGCCACCTGCCCCAACTCACTCTTCTACCTGCAGCAGGGGCAGTGCTGGCCTCTCCGGTGCTTGTCTCCTATCCGTGCCTCTTTTGTAGGGGTATGAGGTGGTCTGGGTCGGGCTGTCTGCAAAGGTACATTTTGGCTACAGCCTTTGCCCAGGGAGGAGGTGGCAAGGACTGGATGGCCTGTGGATCCTGTGGTCACCAGCAGATGTGTCAAGGGGCAGGTGTAGGAATGACAGTCCCAGCCCTGAAGCGATCTTAATCCTGCAAGGAAGGATGAGCCCTCGCTGTGCAGACAGACCTTGCAATGTGCAGCTGGCCACCTGGGGAGTGGCTGCCTCTCTGGAGACTCCAGAACACAATGGGACCAACGCCCTTCTGCTCTGGGATGCCAGAAGTCTGTACCGGAACCCAGCGGCAGCTGAGAACAATCTTACAGTCTTCCCAGCGACTTGCAGGATGTTGGGTGCTAGGGCCTAGGGGGCGGGAAAGGGCTAGCCAGCGGGGAAGGATGACAGGCAGAGAGGCTGGAGAGGTGAGGAGGCCAGTGACCCCCCCACCCCAGAGTTGGGGCACGAAGGGCCTGGGAGGAGGCACTGGGACCAGCAGGAGCGAAGGGCTGTTTGTTGGTGGAAAGGGGCAGGTGGCCTCTGGAGGGCTCTGCAGTGAGGATCTTTCTGCCACCGTTTATCACAGTTGGGTGACTTCAGGTTTGCTCTTGCCCTCTGAGAGCCAACCTGTGCAGGCCAGAGACAGAGGGAGGGCCGGGCTGGACCTGTGCCACTCAGAGCCTGTGGATTCGGCCCCCAGAGGGTGCAGTGTAGGCTGCTGACACAGCCCCTGTGCTGGGACATCCTCACACTTGACCCAGAGCTGAGCAAAGAAAGCCAGCGGACAATGGACCAGCTCATCAACAGCCTTTGATCAGCAGTGGGAAAGACGAAGCCCGGGCAGGGAGAAGCACACAGCTGGGCAGCCAGGGCCTTTCCAGCAGTCGCTGCCATACCACGTCGCCTCAACAACTGGCCCTGGATACCAGGTCCCCAAAGTAGCTTCCCAAAAGGAGTCTGGTCCCATTCACGGGAAGAGAAGGATCGGAAGGAACAATCTTTGGCTGACTTATTTCTTCTGGGTGTCGCGGTCCTGCACTGCCGTCACTTTGCTCACTGCCTGCTCTCTCTCGCCCGGAGCCCGTCCCTCCCTTGGTGCTACTGTGTCTGCAGTCCCACGGCAAGGTCTTGCGAACCACATCCTTACAAGTTCCTGGTGAGCCACCTTGGCTCATACAGAGTCCAAAGAGCTGCTGTTCTCATCTACTACTCAGGAGCCTGATGGGTCCCACGCCACCCTGGACCAGGGAACTCTCTGTCTGTGACCTCCCCAGGGCTCAAGGGTGCATGTGTCTCCTTCCCTGCCCCAACCACAAACTCCTTCCTTGGGAGAGGGTCTGCCGGGCCCCTCTGCACCCGAGCCCAGTCCCCAGGCTAAACCATAGGTCTTGCCCATTGAACTGGCCTTCCAGCTTCTGGGAGGTGAGAACGGGACCCTGCCTCTTAAACAAGACTGCTTTGAAGGCCCAAAGCATGGGAAGGATCCCTTCTGGGGAGCCGAGTGGGCGGGAGCTACACTGACCTCATGCCCTTCCCATCTAGTGTGGCTGAGTTCTCCAGCTCTTCCAACACAGGGGTCTCGCACTGTGAACCACTTAGGACGTGATCACTTTCAGTATGGCCAGGAGTACTGAATGTCTTTGACTCAGTTCATTTTGAAGAGTGTCTATTGGAAAGTTCTGAGTTTGTACATATGTTTGAGACTATAGGACCTGTACATGAAATTTCCTTTCCTAGAGTGTTCACCAAGAGGCAATGACTAGGTGTTTTCTTGGTGGCACAGATCTTCTTTGCTTAGAAATCGAGTGGGCGGGAGCTACACTGACCTCATGCCCTTCCCATCTAGTGTGGCTGAGTTCTCCAGCTCTTCCAACACAGGGGTCTCGCACTGTGAACCACTTAGGACGTGATCACTTTCAGTATGGCCAGGAGTACTGAATGTCTTTGACTCAGTTCATTTTGAAGAGTGTCTATTGGAAAGTTCTGAGTTTGTACATATGTTTGAGACTATAGGACCTGTACATGAAATTTCCTTTCCTAGAGTGTTCACCAAGAGGCAATGACTAGGTGTTTTCTTGGTGGCACAGATCTTCTTATTGCTTAGAAAACTGTTCTTGCTGCTCTTTCTGTTTGTAAGGCCTCTAAGGAAAACAACAATCCTCTAAAATGCTTGTCCTTTTCCTGTTGCCGAATTAGCTGGTCCTTTTTCGGGAGTTGGATATATAGTGTGTTTTATCTGTAAACATTTCTCGCAGGTGCCACCATGAACAAAGATATATTTTCTATTTATTTATTGCATATGCACTTCAAGAAGTCACTGTCAGAGAAGAGAGGTGTTTTCTTAAACGTCATGTCCGAGGTTGTTCTCTGGACTGCTTTGGAGGGGTGCGCCCGGGCCAGGGACATCAGCTCTGGTTTGGGAAACAGAGCTGTACCGTAGTAAACATACAAAAGATGCCACTGTCTTGTCTGCTTCTTTTTTTTCCTCATTTTCAAACATTTATCTGAGGAAGGTTAGATCAACGTACTCACTGTCTGTCTGCCTCTTACATCTGTGGCCCAAGCGCTCTTACACGACAAGCGCCTAGGGTGCCGAGAGTGGTGGGCTGGGTCCGCTGGCAGAGAAGACTTGTGGGACTCCTCCTCCTGGGCATGTCTGCCAGAGGCCAAACACACTGTCTGAGAGGAGTGTGGAGGCTGAGGCGGGAACTCGGGTCCAAATCCAGCTGGCAGGTAGGTGGTGCCAGGGTGGGTGAAGGCACCTTTGGCACACGTGGGGTTCATGGCCTATGAACAGGGAAGGGCAGGAGCCAGAACAGTGTGAGCTGGGTCACAGCTGGGCCATCCAGGCAGACAGCTATCAGCTATACATGGCTTTCTCTACAGTATTTCATCATGGAAATGGTGCAAAGCTCAGTTTCCCACATGCACTGGCCACATGCCACACGTCTCCTCCATGCTGGACCAGAGATGCGAACATCCCATCATCACAGGAAGTTCCTCCCCCGATGATTTCCAGAGAGCTACCGAGACTTATACACTGGGACTAAAAACAGACGAACAAAACCCTTATGTCCGTACTGTTTGCAAGTGTGAGTGTGTGTGTGTGTGCGCGTGTGTCCAGTCTGCTGGAAGGGGCTCATACCACACTGGTGGCACCAGGCTGTCAGGGAGACATGACATCTGGTAAATCAGCTGTGGGAGTGCTGCATTAGGTGTGGGGGGGCACTTGAGAAGCAGAAAGAAGCCACGTATGTGCTGTACTCGGGAAGAAGATATAAGCACTGTTCTGTGCCAGGCTGGGGATGCTGAGCGGCTTGGCTGAGCTCTTCACATGGAGGAATTACAACACCTGCAGTGGCCAGGC